ATTTATTTTTTTTAATTGGTAGTCATACTAGGAATAGGATTAAGGTAATGTGTATAAATATACACATAAGGTTTTATTATTAAAAGTTTATCCGTTAGAAAAATAAAAGAGGCAGAGAGAGAAAATGAGAAGGCTGACAAAGAAGAGGCCAGATCAGAGAAAGAGGACATCGGATTTGGAAGAAACGATCAATGCTTGAATAATTGGTTTTGTTTCGAAACCTTTAGGCGAGTTTTCTCTATTTTTCCTCTTAGAACCCATAAGTGTTTCACCTTGATTAAATCAGGATTTAATTGGAATAGTTAAAAGCATGAATTATTATTATTTAATATTTATGAGTTTTAAGGTTTAATTGTAATATATAGGTGTTGTGTATATTTTAAATCAATTTATAGGTTGATTTATGATTTTCGGAATTTCTCATATTCTTCTGGTATTTTTCGGAATTTATTCGGTGTGGGCGTGTACATGGGAAGATGGTGTACCCGCCAATCAGGGCCATTGGATTAGTTGAACTTATGTGGATTGATACGATGCATTGCGGCACATGGAATGATGGTACACATGCTGATCTGGACCAGTAGATTATTTGATCTTAAGTGGAATAATCCGATGCATTGCGGCACATGATAAGATGTTACACACGCTAATATAGGCTATTGGATTAATTTAATATAAGTAGAATGATTCGGTGCATTGCGGCGTATGGAAAAGGGTACGCATGTGCATCTGGACCGTAGATGTGGTCTAATCAACATAGAAATAATTTGGTGTGGGCGAGCTCACAGCAACTGAAAGGCTCCAGCCAATCAAAACGCGCAATACATATGGAGACTTGGATCCGGTGCGTGCAAGTGCGTGGAAAGCGCATGGGCGCGCGTGTTGATCCATGTTTGCCTATTTTGTGACATGAAATTGAAACGATCACAACTAAGTCATTTTAAATCAAAATTGGGTCATCTTTTGCTCAAATTCAAGGATTTTTCGTCCTCTTTCCGATGGTACCAATTTCATTATCAGATTCCCATCCTACTATGAGATATTTATGTTTTAATGAGATGGTGTCGGAAAACTATTTAAAGCGAGATGGATTATTTAGGGAAAACTATTTCTGACATATTTAGCATCATTTAATTTGTGTAAATATAATAAATTAATAATTTTTATGGAAGGAAGTGTATATATATATATATATATAATTATTTATTTATGTATATATATAGTTTAATTCATTTATGAGTTGTATAGAATGATGTATATATATATATATGTATATATGATTTTAAATAATTAAGGATTATTAAGGAATGTGTTAAACACACACACACACACACACACATATATATATATATATTAAATAATATGTGTGTATATGTATATTTATTTAAGATAATTAAATCATTATTCTTATTTGGTATATCTGGATTAGGCTGGTTATTAATTAATGATATGCTTATTATATATATAAGATGTCTATGTATGATTTGACTTATTGATTAAGTTTAAGGTTGGTACATGGTTGAATCGTAGACATGGATGAGTTGCCGAAGGCTTAAATATACAGCCTTATTATTTGTATGAATAAAATACATACATAGGAAGCATGGATGAATTGCTAGTTTAAAAGTATAAATATTTATACTTGAGGAGGCATGGTTGAATTGTCAATATACAAACAAATATATTTAAGGAGGTATGTTTGAGTTGCCAGTATATAAATAAATATATTTATAATAGTATAGTAGAATTGCCAATGCATAATTAAATTGTTATGTGTTAGATGATTAAAATTTCATCTATGGTTATTGTAGGTGTAGATTGGATTATGATTAAATATTCTTAAATTAGAATAATTTAAGTAAGTGTATTATTTTATATATATTAATAAAATAATGTTGGTAGACACATGGACGATTTGTCAAAACCTAGAAATTGGCTGTGTGATTTAAATAATTAAATCATTATTGGGTTTTGAATTAAATATAATATTCTTTAATTATATTGTTTAAATGTTTAATTAACTATCTAGGACGGTATTAAGGCTAAAGAACTTTTCTTTAAAAGAAACAGTAGATTGGTCTAGGAATGATTATTATTTAATCATTGTTAATGGTTTTGGAATTAATGAACTTAGTAATAGATGTGACTGTTGTATTATATATTATTATTTGTGTGTGTGTGTGTGTGTGTGTGCGCGTGTGTGTGATTGTATATTAAGGATAAAAGACTTTATTAGGATTGACTTTGGTCAGAAATGATATTTTTATTGGTTTTCAGAGGCCTGGTAGAGAGAACTTGCTCGTGGGTTTGACCCACTTATTTTTTATCTTTCAGGTATTAGAGGTTCAAGTCTCAAGATTGAAGATCCGCAACTTTAGAGGCTTATTTACCATCTACTCTTATTTATGTCAAAGTAGGATATTATTATTTTGACTTAAATTTTATTTATGGATTTCTGGATAGTGGATATTGGTTAAGGGGTCCTTCAATTATGGAATTCCCGAGTTGTAACATTTGGAGAATTATTATTTAATGGAATTATTATTTATTAGTTTTCTTTAGCGAGTCATTTATTCTTTTTAATTATTTTTGTAATCTATGCTTGTTTAAATACTTTAATTGTTTTGATATTCCCTGATTTTGTGCGCGGATTTAATCAACCCGTGTTCCGAAATTATGGGGTATCACATAAATCCAGCTTTCAAATTTTTTGATTACTAATAATCATCACTGGATTGCTGTCATATAAGATAAATTTGATATATCATTATGAATAAAGTTACAAGAAATTCAAAATAACAACCTAATGCTTATAATGATCGGAGTTTCAGCTTCTCGCGAACTGTCGGAATTTTTTTGGGGGGAATCTCTCCTTCTCAAAAATTTTAACTTCTCACCAGAATGTATGGTGATTTTTCCGACTAGATCTTATTTTGTTTGTTTCAGAACGAACCTTCTTTGAACAAGGAAATCCTTTTGCTTACTTGTACGTCCTCAGTTCAGCTTCTTCGCCGGATAATCTCACTTGCTCTGCTTCTTCACCCGATAATATGACTTGTTCTGCTTCTTCGCTGGATAATCTTGCTCTACTTCTTCTTGAAAATCTTTATGTTTATGTGTAAGAAAACTCTCTTGGTTGCTTTGCCTGGATGAGGTTGTGTTTTGATATTTCAAATTTTAGAGAGGAATTTCCTATTTGATATTTCAGATTCAGTATATATTGCAGAGTTTTAGGGGGAAGGCCAACTTTCCTTTTGGGGGAAAATTGAAAATTGAAACTCAAATACAGAAGTATGTATAAATTACATGTATGAGACAAAGTTTTAACCCATTTGTTAACTCAGCAATTTACCCATCATTGGACAGTTTCTAGTGAAAGGGCAATGGAGACGATTTTTTTCTGTTTAGATCCAATTAGTATAAAGGGGGTATCATGAATGGTTAAAAAATAGGGATTATAACATATCAATGGTACTAATGACTCGTATTTACCATTTGATGGAGTCAAAGTCTCATAATTTAAAAAAAAATATATATCAAAAAATACAATTTATCCTCATTGAAGTACAATTTTTAGACACATCGGTATCAGTTTTTGTACATGCAGGTACCACTTTTTGTTATTAGTAACATTTTTTGTGTTGCACAAAAAAATGGTACCTGATGCACAAAAAGTAATACCTATGTAATAAAAGTAGTACCTCTATGCCTAAAACAAAAGTGGTACCTGTAAGCTGATGCACAAAAAGTGGTACCTTCTTGCACAAAAAGTGGTAACTATGTGTCGAAAATGGTACCTCAACTTTCAAAAAAAAAAAGTGATACCTCGGTGAGGGTAAACTGTGTTTTTCTATATACACGTCAGCATTTTGGTCAACTTTAATTTTTTTTAAATTATGAGACTTTAATTCTATTAAATGATAAGTATAGATCATTAGTATCATTTATACGTAATAATTTTTATAAAAAATTAAATAAATTAGTATTGGGTATCAGTACAACAAATCAAATCAAAGAGAGTGCTATCCTAAATAATATATCCAAATTATTAAATCGAACAGAGGCAGATTGGGTTGGATAGACTTGAACGAGGTGGTTGTTAATCCCACAAAGACGCATACCAGTCATAGATTCTCCAAGCACATGACTTGACAGTAGTGTTTGGCTTTTATTATTGTTTCAATGCTTCACATTGTCCTCCACGTTGATCCATTATTTGCCCATATTAATTACATGCATGCCACTCAAGGATAAGCTATTTTCGAGTTTTGGTCTAATAACTCATGCTCGGCTCTTACCTTAGCCACTTTTGTGTATCACGTCGGAAGGGAAAGCAATGGTCGGGTCTTCAATTTTGATTGCTCTAGCTGCAACTTTGCCATCATTTTTTCATCTCCCGCTATTATTTCTGCTGTTGGTGGTGGTACCAGCTTAATTGGATCCTTATTTTGGGCCGTTACTTGTTTGCTCGCTCTATGGGGGCTTTGATAGTCTTGTTCGGCCTCTAATTAGGGCTTGGTTTGTTTTATGTTTGTTCACTCTGTTTACTTCTTTTTTATTTTTATTTTTATTTTCTAATTAATTCTCACACACCCTCTTTAAGAAATTGTTTGGAGTGAAACTTATACCTATGCTTCACGAGGATGATATACCAACTTGAGCGGGGTTTCTTTTAATACATGGTTTATTTACTGGGGAAAGAAAAACAAAAAAATCAGCTTAAGAGGGAGAGAGAAGCATAACATGAAACATTTGTACAATTTCAGCTCTTAAAATTATAATTTGATCTCAAAACTTTTGCTACTTGTGCAAGCAGAATCCATGATTCAATTTTTACTTAGCTGTATGGGGAAAGAACTGTGATTTGTCTTGTGTAATCTCGCTACAAAAATACAACAATAATAATGAATAAAACTCAACATATATATATATATATATATATTAATTTTTTCTTGAAAGATTAAGTAAACACACACTAAAAAGACTCAAATACTCAACAACCTCACGGGGGATCAAGCTAGGAGAACTTATACAAAACTCAACAGATTGACTTGCATTTTAATTGGTAGATATGTCTGCACAAGACCTCATTAATTGAAAGGAAAATTCTCAAAAGATATATATGATCATCTTGTGATTCTTATTATCTGGTGATATGGGAAATGAAAGAATCCAACTCCAATCGTGAAACCCCACCCTCCTCCACCGCCTGACGGACCTCCTGGCCCAACTCCACCGCCCTGTTTCTTATTTCATCTCCTTCTTTGGACCCCATCAATCTCTTCACAGCTGTTTCTATGGTCAATGAATCCACCAACTCATCTCTACGTGCCCAATCCTTAACCACTACACCAACCTTTAACACCTTAGTTATCAATACTGTGTTCTTGGGCTGGTCTGAATGCATAGGCCAGGCACCTATTGCCACTCCCATTGTTATGCTCTCCATGCACGAATTCCATCCACAGTGACTCATGAACCCACCTGTTGATGTGTGCCCCAACATCTCCAATTGTGGAGCCCATTCTCTCACTACAATTCCTTTCCCTTCCACTCTCTCTTCAAACCCTTTCGGCAGTACTTCAACTAATTTTCTCTCTCCAGCTCCTTCAAACACATCTCCTCTGTCGGCTTCTCTCAACACCCAAATGAACTTTTGTTCACTTCTTTCCAACCCCGTCGCCAGCTCTTTGATTTGTTCATCAGACAATGAAGTCGTCGTCCCAAACGAAACATAGATGACAGAGTTTTGAGGTTGCTTGTCGAGCCAGTCCAAACATGGATGGCATGATTTCTTGTTATGAGATACAGCAGTGACTGGATTGAAGGGTCCAAGTGCCCATTGCTTGTTGTTCTTGTTGGTTACTTCATTCGCGAGCAAGTCTAAATATGGACTTTCTATCACTCTGCATGTGTTGTAAAGACAGCCTGAGCTGATCTTGATGTGATCAAATTGAGTGCTGATGAATTTGATAAACTCTGAAGTGAAACATCCTTCATTGGAGGGAAGGTCTTTTAGTATATTAGCTTCAATCTCGAAAGGTCTTCCCATGGTTTCCCAACGGTGGAAGAAGAGGGCAAACGCGGAGACACTGTGAAAATTGTAGGACTCCGCGTTTGGTATGGAAGCCACATCTTGGACCACTGAAGCCATTAGAGAGTCATGGATTACGATAATTCTTCGAGTTTTGGGTGATAATTCTCTTAAAAGGTTCCTCACAGGCTCGCGAAGTTGTGATGATGCTTCGAATGATGGTTGGAGGTGTGAGGGGAATTTGATGGAGGCATTAGGGTTTGGAGGAGGAGAGAGAAATGAAGGGGTTGGGAAGTCATGGAAATGGACACTGGGGATGTCAGAAAGGTGGTTCCCAGAGTGGATGCGGAGCTTGGCTTGGAGGATGTGAGTGGCGGAGCTGACATAATGGACGGGTATGTTGTAGGATGCAATGAGGCGGGAGAGGTGGAGTAGTTGGTTGAGATGGCCTTGTGCCGGGAAGGGCACCATGACCACAACCACTTGGGAGTTTTCTAGGCCATGGTTTTGTTGGTGGTGGTGGTGGTGGTGGTGGTGGTGGTTGTGGGTGGCCATTTAGAGGATTGCTCTATGAGGTTTGGGCTTGTTGCTTTATAAACTTAAAAACTAGGGTTTTGTGGGAGATGAGTGTTGTGCTTATCTCTATGCCAAGTTGTCCTTCACTTTCTTTTTTTTCGGCAAGATTTGTCCTTAACTTTCACAATTGCACAAAAAAAAGGAAGTCACTTTTTCCTTTTATCCGAAAAAGACAAAGCCTCTTTTTCTATGTAACGGAAAAATCACTTTTACTGCTTCATTACTGCAAAGAAACGCAACCCAAAAAAATGCAGCATTTCAATGACAATTAATTGTCACTTTAATGCAACATATAATTGAACTTATAATTGACTGAAGATTCCAAATGGAACATGAATTTGTTTACTCATTCCTGTCATCCTGAGTCACACGATTTTTCAAACAGACCTTCCTCTCATTTTCAATGTCAATTTTATTGTTAGTCACACCTTCCGAAATTGATATTTAAAATAAAACAGAGGGAATTTTTAATTTATGAGAAGGAGCTTATATTTTTTTAATCTATCTTTGTAAAAATATATATATATATGCACCTATACTGTCTTTTATAATGATTTTTTAAAAAATTATTCAGGCAGACTCTAGGCTGGCTCTTCACATGGGATTCTAATTAAGCTAATTTAATACGGTAACTTACCCATATTAGTATTTTACAAGAATACCCTTCAAGATTCACGAATCATCTATTGCATAAATCCAACCCTACAACTTCGATAGTCCTAAATCTAAAATAATTTAGAAATGCTAAACCTTAAAAATAATAATAATAAATAAATAAAAACCAATAATTTGATGCATCATTTATTCTGGGAGGACTAATGGTAATATGTATTTTAAGAACATACAAATAATATACAGCACTCTCTTTATTTATATATATATAATATTGGGTGGACGAACAGTCAGCATTTGGATGAACAGTCAACAAAATGCCTCAATTATTGGTGCATGCACATGACCTATGTACATCACAGCATGGGTCAAGAAAATGTTAGTGGACACGTGTCTTTACAGGGAATAGACGCGTGGACTCTGAGGCACATGTTGGCGGGCGGGGCGTGCATCAATTAACACCCATATCTCTTTCAGTTTTTGTAACTTTGGCAATCATCACATGTCGCTATGTCCCACTGGAATTTACTATATTTTAATTCAATTTGGGTGCAAATCTGATTCACGTATGAATTAGAGTCGATTCTATTCGAGTAATTAGTATTAAAACTGTAGATTATTAGATGAAAAATAGTTTATAAATGCTACGTAGTATTGATGAGATATATATTACATCAATAAAGTAAAGTGAAATTAGGTCCGAATGGACATATGTTGATAGGGTTGGACCTACCTATCTTATCTTCCCGCAATTGGACAAATGAGAAAATTAAACTTGACAACTATATATAAATCTTACTCTCCACGTGTGTGTTGCAGATCATTCACGTGATCAAGCTGCTTACGTACAAAAAGATTAACATGATTCTTGCACAAGAAAGATGTGCAACGGAAAATAGGCTAATTTTTTTTTAAAAAATCTTTTTGCCCCGATCTAGAGCAATTTACAATTGGATCTCAAAAGCTTTTAACCATTTATTATTTTTGCAATTCGTAAGTATATCATTGAAAGTGCTTCAAGCCTGAGATAAATTGCGAGCATTTATTATAGTTTTCGCTATAAACCAAATAAGCCCTAGTTTTGACTATTTAGAATAAGCGATTTTCAGCAAACACCTTTGGTAGAGTTGCCTCCCCTTTTGTAGAATACAGGATGACACTAAATAAAAATGGATAAAATTCCACCAAAGATTTAGCCCAAAAATAGTAGGATGAGACTTACACTTGAACCATCCTCTTTTCAATTCGACCTAAAAAGCCTTAATTTCAACTACTATTGAAGATAACTTCCAAGATCTTGGTACCATAATCATACTTAGAGAGAAAAATCTTGTACTTCACATAAACTGTTGAAATACCACCAACTCTTACCCCTCAGATCCTTGTCGCGTGTTAGTTTTCAATATTTACCACAAAATAGAATATTTTGATTGCAATTATATGACACCCTAACCATTAAGATAATTAGTCAGCTTAAGAGGGAGAGAGAGAGAAGCATAACATGCAACATTGCCATGAAGATTTTTACAACTTCAGCTCTTAAATTAAAAATTGATGTTAAAACTTTGCTGCCAGTGCAAGCAGAATCCATGATTCAATTTATACTTAGCCGTATGGGGAAAGAACTGTGACTTGTTTGTATGTCCTTCATTGCCACACCCAAAACAAAACGCTCCCAAACCAATTTAAAAATGAAATTTTCCGCTTTTGTTTGCTCAATAATTCAAGGGCTGCAGAGGTTCTTGAGGTCCTCCTCCTTCGCATACCAGCTTGGAATTATCTTTGAAATATGGGGATAAAGATCCTTGTAAGAATTTCTGATTGTTCCTTCTGCAACTCCAGTTGCAAGTGAAACATCTGCATCCACTCCATTTTATTAAATTGCATAGACATGGAGGATAACAACTGAACACCTAGAATGAGTGCTATAGTAACTGGTGTTTACTTTTAGTAGAGAACTACAATGATCAATTGATTTTCGATCATGTGTTCTCAACCAGTAATATAAACATGCGTGGTGCTCCCAAACCAAATTCTCCAAATTAATTGTAGCATGAAAAGATATGGCATCAAAGCAGTGCCGGAAAATGAGTTCAGCTATGATTTTTTCCAAACCAAAACATGAGGTTCGTGATAGTAATCACAAGACTGAAGCAGGTGTATATTTACCTTTGAGGGGCTTCTTTTCATCTGAAAGCTGAGTTATAATATAAATTACAGCTGCTGCAATTGATATTGGACTTCTCCTGCAACAAAAGCAGCAGTCAACAACCATTTTACAATATCCCATCCAACAACATCAAATAAAGAGATTACTTGAGCACTTGCAAATTAAGAGTATCATAATGTAAAACGAGCTTCAAGAAGCCTCTACGTACAAATTAATACAAAATCAATAAATTGCAGCTCTTCTTCTTCTTTTTTTAAATAAAAATAATGTCATGACGAGAGAACATGAGTTAACAGGCATGAGGACGCAAGTTGGAATCCAAAGCAGCCACATCCTGAAAAAGTAACGCAAAAGGCCAAGTTTGTCTCTTTTAACCCTCCCAATACGCAACATGGGAAGAAGTAACACCAGATATTAACCTTTTAATACCATCAGCTCATGCAAACTGGCTTCTTATCATTGGTGCCTTGTCATAGGCCTTGATTGGAAGTGTAATTATAAACACAAAGTGATCTCAGTGAGCTCTCTTTTCTTTCATATATTATTAGTTACTCATGAAGTTTCCCAACTCTTTCATATCTTATCAGTCACCCAAACATTCATATTCAACACCAGGGATCTCAGTTAAATAAAAATGAACAAACACCATTGTAAGCCGTCAAAGGGCATTTGGAGCCTTCTCTATGAATGTATTAATATTCATATAATAAACTTGACATCTGCATAAGACATGACAGAAAAGAAAACTGGAAGAGTACCTTATATCATACTCTTCTGACTTCTGGACCGCTTCCTGGGCAGCTTTAACTGCCTGGTTGGTCATACCAAGATTCGAACAAAAGCGCCTCTAAAGATCAAGTTAAGATTCATATCAGCAGCAGTAAAGCAAGAAACAACGGATATAGTAAAGAAAAAAAAAAAATACATACATACATATACATACATACATACATACACATACATACATACATATATATATATATATATATATATGCTGCCCAAGAGATCCATATCAAAATCAAAATGTTCAATTTCACAAAACCTCACCATAAAATCCCCAGCATGTATAGTTCCCATCTCCACCGATTGACCCATCTCAAGCTCTAGCTGTTTCACTATATATTCTTTTGCTCGGCCAATTTCCTTCTTTGTCGCTCCATTGGCAACAGAGCAAATTTCTAATTGAAATAGGTTCAGGGAAAACTTATTCACAGTGAGATAAATCAGGAAGCATCCAGATGTTATAAAAAAGATTTCTTAGATTGTACCCTTTACAGTACGCGGCTTGTCTTCTTGTCGACAAGCAATGTACAGGCATGCAGCCAGTAAGGCATCCTGGTTTCTTCCTCTACTAGATTTTTGATCTTCAACCTTCTTGTATATCTCATTAGCCCGGTCCTTCAGAACAAATTACAAAAGCACCATCAGCAAGAGGTAGATGTGAAACAAGGAAAATGACAAACTGATGTGGGAAAAAATCTATTTACTGTCTTAGCATGTTATGAATATATCTTAGCGCAAAATGCAAAAAATTCTAACCTATCACACATTTGCCGATAACCCCCACACTACAAAAACATCCCCTAACTATAAAAGATATGCAAAATAAAACATTTGCCACTGAGCATGTTATGAATATATCTTAGGGCAAAATGCAAAAAAATCTAACCTGTCACACATTTGCCGATAACCCCCATACTACAAAAAGATCCCCTAACTATAAAAGATATGCAAAATAAAACATTTGCCACTGAGCCGTTAAAAGAGTAAGAGAATTACAAAACTCCCCTTACGAAATGAAAAGGGCAAACTGCAAAAGCCCTGAACAATCACGCTTTGCGAAAAGCCCCTTATAAGACAAAGACCTACTGATCTATCATATATTTGCAAATAAGGCCATGATACAGGTTTGATGTTACTTGCAAGGGCAAATTACTAATTTTTCCATTAATTAGATGACAAATAACGCATGTAAGCCAAATAATTAATAAAAAAGGGTATAGGATAATGGTATTATATTCTAAAAGAGTAAAATTGTCAAATAATGCATCATATACATATGCTATGTGCACATTCCCATCTTCCTTTTGACAGAAATGTGACTATAGGAGGTCTTCACAAAATCATGATAATTCTGGGGGTTAAAATGTGCAGTACGGAATGGTCATAAAAAACAGAATATGGCATGTGTATAGCATGTAACAACATTTCCATTCAATTTTTTATGAAAACTAATTATAATAGGCTAATTGCAACAATTCGAGGTAATTCATAGGTTTTTTTTGCTAATAAATAAATTGAGACTGGTTATTTACGACTGAGATAGTTCAGAGGGGATTTTGGCATTTTTCCCTATGTATTATTAACCAATGCACATGCATCCTGATGGAGAATTCCTATGTCAATTCTTCAATGAACATTTACAAATGCATGATTCGATTCAGACATACAGGAAAGAGAGAAGCAACCATCCTAGAGTTCAAAAGCACAATTGCAGGACAAGTGCAGTGGGGTAGTATTGAGCGTTTGTAACAATATTAAAGGCCAGACAGTAAACAAGATTTATAAGCCATCACATCTAAACTGCAATATGATAATAGTAACATTTCAAATTCTTGCCTCAAGAGTTGAGAAGAAGTGTTATTACAACTTGCAACGTATCGTGACACGTTTCTCTTGCATGCATAAAGCAAAATACATCACAAGACCACATGTAGACAAGGAACAAATCAATTCAACTGATTAAATCAAGGGAAAATTACAAAGAAGTTGTTACGACAAACGCAGTGAATCCAAGAATGAATCAAGATACACGATAGAAAAGTAATCACACCACACAAAGAACATAAAGGTTCGGAAAAACCTACATCACGGTGGAGATCCGGTAAAAGTTTTCAATGTGCAAAAAATAGGAGATTACAAGTTTCAGCCCCCCTCTTTCTCTACGGTTTTCGATGTCTCTCTATCACCCACTCCAAACCTCAAACGCCCTTATAAATTGGGCCACAAAAGAGTACTAATTAGGGTCCACGACCAACAAGCAAAAATGGGAAAAAAATATGAAACAGGGCGTAAATGGGTTGCAACGCGACTTGACACCAAATTCGGGCCACAACATCTCAGAAGTATTTCCTATCACTGAAATAAGAATATAGGAGGTTTGTTCATGGATTAACCTTGATGTTCCTATAAAATGAAAAGTAGGACTTCTTTGTAATTCTATCTTAAATCGATAAGGAAGTAACAATTTTGAGGTTAATCACAGTACTGAAGACTTCAAAATGTAATCAATAACTAAGGGCACACTAGACTTGGGTACCAAAAAGTAGTTCAAAATCAAAACTTCAGATTGAAGCAAGACAAAGGAGATTTTCAAATTTTGGGATTATATTAAGGACCGATATTGCCTCCTAACTTTCTCTATCCCACTTTTTATCTTGCGAGTGTCGAGAATATCTGTGCTTAGAAATGAATGTTTTACAATTGGAAAATTTAAGACCTTTTCCTTTTCGTAGTTTGGTTATTTTTACAATTTTCTGTTAAGTTTTCATTTACATCTTAGTTAATTTGCATTTCAATTTAACTTGTTTTCTTAAGGACTATAAAATTTGTAATAACATCTGGATTTCTTGAAGTTCAAAGATAATGTAGTATGAAATGTATAGCTATTTATTCCACATATTATTATTTCAGACACACACACACTTGATTTTATGTGAAATTTTCTCCATATGCTTTTGACTAACAAGAAACATCAATTGCTCGTTAATAAAATGTGTCGAACAACTATTTTTACATGAATGCATTACACATCGAATTCAAGTAACAACTACTCTCCCTTTTTGGCTAATTTATTTAATGTAACCTTTTTCGTTTTTTGATAAGTTGGATTGTATTAGAAAGCGTTCAAACGGGGAACGCATCCTGCAAAAGCAACACAAGGACCAGATAGGACCCCCTAAACTCTCAATATGTCCAAAACAAAATCAACTATCCCCCCACAAAAAAGAGAACTAATAATAGAGACCTACAGCACCGCAATAGGAGTCTCCTCGCCATCGAAGGATATCCTATTTTGTTCCCTCCAGAAGAACTGCATTTAATGAGGGTGTGGCGCAACAGTAAGGTTGCTCCATTGTGACCTAGGGGTTACGGGTTCGAGACTGGAAATAGTCTCTCCATGACGGAGGAGGTAAGGATGCATACGTCTGACCCTCTCTAGACCTTTCAATGACCGAGCCATGTGCACTTGCTAGCCCTTTTTGATGGTTACAAATTTTCCATGGAATTTTTTTCTTCATGTTTTGAATTGCAAACGAGGCAATAGAACAAATTCTATTTAGGCTACGTTTGTTTCGACGTAAAATATTTTCCTCGGAAAAGATTTTTCTTTTTCAAGAGAAATATTTTCTTCTTTTTTTTTTTCCCGGTTTTTGCCAAAGGTCTAGGTCGAGGCAAGTCCATCAGGCGGGACGTTTACAATAACTTGCCAAAAATATCAGCTATTTTTGTTAAGTTTTAGTATCTTTTTCTTCGTAAATATTTTACGACAACCAAACACTAGAAAATAAAAATACAAATTTACATTCAAACAAACGGAGCCTTAGATTTTTTTTTTTTTTTTTGGGGGGCGGGGGGGCGGGGGGGCGGGCAACAGTTCTTGTATAAACTATAATTTGCGAAAAGCATTACGTAAATCCCAAAATAGAGTCAAAACTCTCAAACGATAAGGAATAAGAAGGAAAAAACAATCATGGTTGCTTCTCTAACATAACCTTTTAAATGACCCAGGCATCCTGCTTTCTCTCTTCCTACGCATAGCTGCCATTTTCTAAAATTATAGGCTTTATAAACAAGCCCTCGTTACAGATAAAACCATTCAAAAAAAACATCCTACTAACATAGTCACCTTAATTACCTAATAGAGCCCATGTTGCTCTTAATACCAACAAAAGTTTTAAAAATAAGGAGGGGGAAGAGCAAATGTAAGTAAAACCTCCTCCCTAATAGAATTAGGTTAAAATCCAAAAAACAAATTACTATTCTTCTTAATTGAATGCCAGTGGCTACGGCACACTAAATTCCTGAAACCAACTTAATGTTATGTTCTAGTCCACCCGCTATCAACATGATAATGATACATCTTGCACTACACAGTTCAAGTGAACACAGGTACAAAAATCTATTAAAAATTGACTACAACAGCAATTCAATTTAAATTTAACTTATTCAGAGTGTAAAATTAATTAAGTATGCTCCATCCAATTACTTAAACAAGTTGATTTAAATACATAAAAGTAGGACTAAATCACACAATCCTTCTCAACAGGTATCGCTCTCACGCTCCAAGCGCGCTCCCGCTCCGCGTGCTCTAGCTCAAATTCTCACTGCAACTTAATTCTGCCGCTCTCATGCTCCCACTCTCACTCCCGCTTTATGTGACTTAGGGTTTGATCTATCTACTATCTAGGATTATGCACTGTTGGATCCCACTTCATGTTCTAATATGACATGACAACACTGGTGATTCAAAAATGATTAACCCAATAAAATCCTTTTCAGCAGGTCATAAGTAATAAAAACTACAAACCTTATGACCTTGTACATACAATTTCATTCCAATGATTCTGGATGTTGCGCACACAAATAACCACGCTGCTTATAGTGACACAAATGATATACTTCAATGTATTTACTAAGTGAGATTATGCACCATTAGGTCCCACCTCTATTCTATTATATGAAACAGTGAGGAACGAATGCATCAAAAATTATTCAACCCAGATCACTAAAGTGTAGCCTAAACCCCTATGGTTATGTTAGGTACTTGAGAGCTGCTGATGTTGAGAACCGAGAGCCACTGATGTTGAGATGTGACTTTTGTATGAAGTGTCATACCATTAATTGTCATTGCTACAACTTTATCTCTCGTCCAAACTCCAAAGAGAAATTAATTGTTATTGCAATTTAGCGCAGAGGTGTGCTCTAGAAATTGAAAAAAAATAAAAAAATTTACTTCTTCCATCCATCTTCCATATGATATTATTAATAATTTGGTATTAACAAAAATACATATATAAATACTACGATACAATATCTGGTCCATGCCATATGATAAATCTACTTCAATGGCAAAGCAAGGTAGCCGAATAAACAACAAATCCATGTTGAAATGGTAATAAATACCAAAGGAATCACGCTACAAACTTAATCCATTGTTCGTACCCTTGAACCTGCAATCCAATAGCCTAAATGATTGTAGCATTCACAAAGACACTTGCTATGGAAATGTGAACATAGATCACGTCCCTAAAACCAGAGACAAAGTCTGGCCTAGAAACATTTTTCTCTATAACATTAGCATACACGCCAACAACTAAAACAGCTGTTTGGCAACCCATTATAAAGAAAGGGGACAAAAATCAAATCCTATATTTACCTAAAAACAAGTAAAGACAGAATTAATTAAAATCAATATTTATTTCTTTATTCTTTATTCAGTTCTATAGTTGAAGGGTAAGTGAAGTAAAGTGAGCCAACAATAAAAGATAATGTTTTGGTAATATCACTGCACTCAAAAACCACATTCAGGAAAAAATCACTCCACTCAAAAAAACCAATCTTCATTATGCAACATTGTCCATATGAAAAAGGAAATATATGGCAACTATACAGTTCACAATCATAAAAACTATTACTGAAATTAATGCCTTCAACTTGCATTTGCACAGGTCTACACATGCTAAAATTCTCAATTGCCAGATAACCAAATATCATAACAGCGAGTAGATAGTATACCTTTATGGTCGCAACAAGGCCCAACCTGGACAAAAAATTGGTTGCATCAGTTATATTTTTATAAAAATTCATATTGCAAGATAATGTAGAATTCAACAGGGATATAGAAAAGACGAAGAAGAAGAACAGGAAAATAATGTACCAGATATGTGTGTGTGTAACAAAGAAAACAGATCACAGAACACTAAAAATACAAGATCAGTGCATGATGGTCTGTAATAGAAAAAGAATGGAAAAGAGAATTCATGGACCTCATTCATATGGGACTAAGGCAAGGATGATGATGATCCAACTAGTCAGACTAATCATTGATGCAACAAAATGAAGATGTTAGGAGCAGTTCGTAGCATCTTCTACTTATCTTCTTGTCTCTCTTTAATTTTCTACTGCTTGTAAGCCTTTAAACACACAACCAGACTTTATTAACCTGTTTTAGACATTGAAAATCCCGAACATTTCCCCTCTACTAATCTTTCAAATCCACCACACTAATTAACCCCGTTTTAACTTTTAACATTGCAAATCCTAGTTTACAAGCCCTCATATTTCCCCCCTCCCATTGTCCAACTCCGGAACAAAGGAACTTCAATTTATCTTCTTGTCTCTCATTACTTTATTGCTATTCACGGTCACAGGTACCTTTAAAATCTGCAGAACAGTCTCAAAATTTTACAGTTCCTTGCCAAATTAAAACTCCAGAAAGTTCTTTTCTTTTCCTGATTAGCAAAACCTCAAAAGTTTCTACTCTCTACATGCCCTAAAACAACACATCTCCACTGACCTCTTGCAAAAAAAAAAAAAAAAGATACTCCCTCTGTCCCAAAATACTTGATCTACTCGGGAAATCCAACTTTTTTATGGTAGTGGAGTTTTAATAGTTTTTATTGTGTTGATACAAGTGAATTTTAAAATATACCCTTGTTAAAAGACAATATAATGTTCCGTAATTAGTGCACTTGTTTAGTTAAAAGGATAGTCTAGGAATGTTATAAAAATAATACATCCATTTTCAGAATGAGACATATATTTTGGGACATCCCAAAATAGAAAGATGGACAAGTATTTTGGGACGGAGGGAGTAAGAAGGAATAATCAGCCCCAAAAGCTAATCTCCAACATCATTCATATTTGAACAAAGTTTCTAATCAAATTGACATTGATTTTAGATGCAAGTATTCAACATACTTTGTCAAGTAGGATAAAAATAAAATACAATAAAAATAAAAAATATTTAGGGAAGGCGATTTGTGATAATTTCACTCAATTTTTGTCCTTTTTGGACGAGTTATGATGTTGACTTAAAAAAATGCCAAGGAACTCATGAATTATGAAGTGTGATGCCAGGGGTGGGTGGATGCCAAAACTCTTCCTCCTACACCTAGCCTTCCTAGGAAAAAAAAAATGTTTTCTAATTTCTGTTTATAAAGCTATTAGAGTAGGGGTAATTGCCTACTGTGATAATAAATGCTCGATCTAACAAGTTACAGTTTGACTGTTCCACTCTGAAACATCTACTTTGTGTGAGAGTTCCAAAATAACGGTATACCTTCAATCTTTCACTCCTACACCTAGCCTTCCTAGAAAAAGAAAAAAAAAAATCTAATTTCTGTTTATAAAGCTATTTGAGTAGGGGTAATTGCCTACTGTGATAATAAAAGCTCGATCTAACTAGTTACAGTTTGACTGTTTCACTCTGAAAGCATCTACTTTGTGTGAGTTCCAAAATAAAGGTATGCCCAGCATCATTCACTCCCAGCTCCCTACGTGAGCAGAACATAATGATTATGTCTAGAAAGCTACTTATGAGATTATATCCATACCACATAATGAAATCTTTTGTTTTCTTAATATATTCATTAATTATACAAAAAATTTATGAATATTTTTTGAAAAACTTCTAATATGCAGGTTGAACAATGATACCCTTCCTTTGGGATCACGACCAATCAACATTGCACTCATATCTTAGCAATCCCGAAAAACGAGAAAAGGCCCAATGATGACCGCAAGGTACTCTGATTAGATGCCCAAACAGAATAACAACTTTCATTAAACTGAAACTCCTATCTGCATACTTCAAATCTTACTTCATACCAAATTCATTGACAATTCAAGGTATTTGTTTATCGGGTTTGTAATGACACAGAGTCTCAGGCTTTAGATATATTCATGATTACATCAAGTACTTGCTCTTAACAGAAATCTACTGCCTATGTATACAAGTTTCAAGCATACTACAAAGGACTGCACAATAAACCAATTATAATGGAATGTGTCTAACACTTATTAACAGCTGGTACTAATTAAACTCTTACCAATTTACCTACTATTAATTGAGATCCATGCCTGAGTCCATGGTAGTTATAGGGAGAGGCACCTCAATTAGATAGCTGGCACCTACCTTGAGCTCTTAGAGTTGCTTAAAAAGTCATAAAAAAATACATGGACTATGGTTTTTACATTGTTTAGAACCTGAACTTATCTAATGACAAGTGATTAGAACTCTCAGAGAATACTCAGATGTGAAGAACTTGGTTGTTGAACTATAAATTTTACCAATACAATAAATAAATACTCCGACTAATTATCTGACTATTACATAACGATCAATCAATTTCTCCCTCTAAATATCTCACATCAAAAAATTGTTACTGACTACAAGTCCATTTATATTCACGAATTTCAAATCCCTACAGATGTATAATAACAAAGAGGCACACGATTACCATATATATATATATATATATAAAACAAAAAAACAAAAACAAAATATTTCAATCTAATCTCGTCTATATTTCGGTTTCCAAGATTTAATCCAAGACCAAAATTATTGACTTACTACTTCGTGTCCAACTTTCCCAGCAAACAAACAGACCCATTACTAGGGTCTAGACGAAAGATACACATATATAGAGAGAGTATAAATACACACCTATCAGACATGGTGGCGATGGTCTTGAATGCCAAAATAAGAGATCGATCCGGATTGGAGCCGCGATTCTGCCAGCGACCCAACGACGAGGAGAGAAAATCGCTGGTGACACCATTGGGCTTCGATATGACGGTGGATAGGCCACCGTCGGTGAGAAGAGGGTTTGTGGGTCCTCCGACACGGACCGGGTCGTTGTCGCCGGACTCGTTGGCGAAGGTTCTCCATTCAGAGGTCTCGTCGATGGAGTGCGACTCGAGGACGAGACCACACTCGGAGCAGACAGTGTCTCCGGCCGAGTGATCGAACACCACCTCCGTGCTCCGCTTGCAGTCCGAGCAGTACGCGTCCATGGCGGTATTCCCTGACCGGAAAAGGAAGATAACTCCGGGATCGGTGAGAGAATATACTTGCAAGTGGGGTTGTGTTGGGAAGATTACGATGGGTTTGGTTTCAGAGGATCGGAGAGGGTTTGTTCGTGTTTTCTTTTTTAGCTTTGGTCTGGTTTTCGTTTTTTCCCCTTCTCCAATCTCTCTGATTTGATGAAGGAAGGAAAGAAAAAGGAATTGAGTTTTAAAAGGGGTCAAAGGTATTTATAGAGAGAGGGTTTGGACTTGTTAGGAAGGTCATGTGAATGTGTATGTAATGGCTGTTGCTTAGGTGGACATGGAAGGTGTTTGGATGCATCATACATCATCATCACTTTATTCGCCTCGTGTTTGGTAACTTAGTTTTGCTTAACCTCGTTACTTTTCCTTACCCCAAAAATAAAATAAAATAAATGGTTAGACTGAAAATGCATGAAGTGGAAAATTTTCAGTTTTTTAAGAGTTTTAATGGTAAAAGGGATTTTTTTTAGTTTAGTTTTTACACAAAACAATTTCTATTTTTCAATCTGAAAAAGGGAATCACTTAAAAAATTAGTTTCATTAATGGTATTCCAGAAACTGAATCAAAATATTTTGATTTAGAGAAATACATTTTTATATATTAAAATTTGAAAACTATTTCATATTTTTAAAACTATTTTTTCACATGTCTTAAGAATTTATAAAAATTATTTTCACATAAGTGAATGAAACAAGCCATTACACCCAAAATGTAAAAAGAGAGAGAGAATTAAACTATGAGGAGGTTTAGGTTTATGAGTTCCACTAAAACACTATGAATAACTTAAAAATATCAATAACAATAATAAAGTTTTCTTCCTAATTAAATACATGTAAGAAAATTTTCATACCGAGCACTCTGAATAATAAGTAATGCCATCATCAAGAGTGAACTTCATATTTAATTTATACGAAATAAATGAAGTTAAGGGGTTAGTTTGGCAATGGTAAAATTCAATCTCTAGCTGGCTCTTTCTGACTTTTATTGGGACAACAAACGTGGTAGATTAGGGTGAGAAAGTGTGTGTTTTTGGACTACAAGGGAAGGAAACATTGTGGATGTGAAAGAGATTGAGATGAGATGTGGTGGTGGATGTAAACAAACATGACCAGTGTGTGTATTTGGACTACAATATTGTGCGTCGCATTGCATCTGGCCATGTTTGGGTTACACCCCCCAGAGCCTCCGGTACTAGAGCTGGGACAGCAACGGCTTCTCTGCCCCTGCGAGAATGGAGCGACAGAAGTTTTGAGAATTCAAGAGAAAGTTACGGCAAGACGAGCCGTTTATCATTACGATAAGTATCAAGTAGAAGTGCAGCGATGTATGCAGCTGAGGCATCCTAACAGACCGGTAGACTTGAACCTTGTTCCTACATGACCTGGTCAATTCGATCAGGCACTCGTCATCTATTTTCATTGTTCAACTCTTTGACAAATTGGTACAAGGTGGGAGTCCATTTTGGGATATTATATTATTTGTGGTAAATTTATGTTCAATTACAGTGTATATATATGTCATGAATTACAATATACTCCATATTATTGATCTATGGAAAAGTAAAGAAAGAACATGTGATATGTAAATTGAAGAATCTTCTAGGCTACCAAACAGCCCATTATATATTCCTTTTCTTCAGAAATGATCTTTATTTCTCCTTTTTATCTATTTTTCATTTATGTCTCTTTTTTATATTTTGCATTTATGTCTCATGTATGAAGTTGGGTAAGATTTCATTAAAAAATGTTTTTCATTGTTGTTTCATCAATTCACATGATTTGATCATTTTCTCTGTCTGTCTTCCTTTTTCATTTTTTTTTTTTCCTTTTTAATGGATGTGATGAAAAATCTACCCATTTGTCTCTGCCCTTTCATTTTTAATTGTAATGCATACAACCCTGGCATTTGATTTTGAATTCTCAAACCAATAAAAGTTGTTAAAACAGTCACAACAGTTAGAACAGTTGGGCTCACTAGTTAGGTGGAAGAATTAATATGATTTAAATCGATAGCGATGTCAATTTTACTCCTTTCGGGCTGGGCTGTTATGTCCTTATTGAAATGGATTTGGAATTATTATCCTAATAAAGTTGAGAAGTTTGGAAAAAAAGAGTTTAAAATTCGTAAAATTTTGACCTTGTCTAATTTAATAATAATATATAAATAAATTTTATTATTAAAAGATTATTATTTATGGGACGAGCTTAAAAATGGGTTGCCCAGTCCCGAATTTGATTAAGAAAGTAATAGCTTGATGTTTCTGATCAGACTCTGATGACATGGATAATCTCATCAATCAAATTTTCGTATTTATTATTTTGGTTTAAAAATATAAATTTTATAAAAATTAAAAAAAGCCCAATTAAACTAGAGTAAATTTCAGCTCCTATTGCACTTGTAGTTTGACTTTTGTCGTACTACTTGGTTTATAAATTCCAAGTGGTAACTACCACTAGCCAAGCAAGTAAGACTTAATGATCAGAGACTTTTTGCACCAATATCGTGTCGGTACAATGATCTTTGTTTTTTATTACATGAATGTACTTTCACCCAACCCTCAAGAGTGTGAGATACACGGTTCACAATGATAGGGTCAAATTTGAACCTCCACGGTACACACGAAAAAAAAAACACGTTCAACAATTTGTTAGGTCAACTAAACTTCCAATTACTTCTAATTTCCTCAAATTGTTTTCTGTGTTAGCTGAATTTCCTCAAGGCTACTGATGCAGTGATTTTTAGTTGACAATTCACGCAACAAAAATAAATCAAAGACCTTTTATTTATATATTAATTGATATTTACCAAGTTTATGGTGTTGGTTGATTCTCGAAGGAAAAATGATATTTACATTGATCAATTTGGCCGATTATTTTGGCAGACGGCAGTCCAACTAATAAAAAGAATTTTCGTTCAATCCAATCATCTTCTGTCTCTCCCCGTTTTCTCTAACCTATTAGGCCAGACAAATGTAGGTGATGGCCATTATTGGGTGATGTTGGTGCGAACAACGGTGGCTGGAATGCCAGATTTGAGTTTAGGGATTTTAAAGATCAATCGATGGTAGTGTCGGCAACGAAACTCTATCAATTATTGTGGTGTCAGCACCATAGGCTTGTGTGATACCCCCTAATTTTGGAACACGGATTGATCAAGTCCGCGCACAAAATCAAGGGATATCAAAACAATTTAAGTATTTAACAAGCACAGAATACAAAGATGAATAATAAAGAATAAATAAACCGCTGAAAAAAACTAATAAATAAATATTACTTAATGATTCTCCAACAATTACAATTCGGAAATCCCATAACTCAAGGACCCCTTAAAACATTATCCAATAATCCAATACTATTTAAAAGTACACAAGATGAATAGACGAATGACAGTCTCCCAGCTGCGGATCCTCAACCTCGAGACTGGAACCTCTAATAACCTGAAAAATAAATCGTGGGTTAAACTCTACGAGCAAGTTCACTCTACCAGGCCTCTGAAAACCAATAAGCAGATCATCTCTGATCAAAACCAAACCTAATAAAGTTTTAACTTTAATAAAGCACGATATACATGTCTATATATAATTATATATACTATACTAATCACATCCATTAATAGGTTTATTAAATTTTCATATCTATTAAATAATTATTAAAATAATATTCATACCTAGACCAATCTACCATTTCATTTTATAAAAACTCCTTTGACCTTAATCCCATCCTAGTCAGTTGTCTAATCATTTAAACAACAAATTATAATAAAAGAAATACTCTATTTAATCCCAACCCGATAATGATTTTAATTGTTTAAATCACATATCCAAAATCCAAGTTTTGACAAATCATCCACGTCTTCCCCAATATTATTTTATTAATGGAAAATAATACACTAACCAGTAAATACTCATTTAAGAATATCTAACCCTAATCCAATCCATACATACAACAACCATAGATGATATTTTAATCATCTAACACATAACAACGTAATTATGCTTTGGCAAATCAACCATGCCATTGTAAATATTTTTATTTATATATTGGCAATTCAACCATGCCTCCATAAGTATATTTATTTATACATTGGCAATTCAACCATGCCTCCGTGTATGTATATTTATACATTGGCAATTCAACCATGCCTCCACAGGTATATTTATTCATACATTTAATTAGCAATTCATCCATGCTTTCCATATATGTATTCTATTCATACAAATATTTAGGTAATATATTTAATCATTTGACAATTCATCCATGCCCACACTTTAACCATGAATTAACTTTAAAATTAACAATACGCTAAATCATACATAGCCATCACATGCATATTATACGCATATCATTAATTTAACAACCAGCCTATTAAGATATGCCAAATAAGAATGATAATATTAATCATCTTAAATGATTTATATATATATATATATATACCTACACATATGTTATTTAATGTATATATGTGTTTAACACCTTCTTTAATAATCCTTGATTATTTAAAATCAATATACATACATACATACATATATATATATATATATATATATAAATAATTATATATATATATATATATATATATATATATATATATACACTTCCTTCTATAACAAATTATTAATTTATTATATTTACCCAAATTAGTGCAACTAAATATGTCAGAAATAGTTTCCTTTAAATACTCCATACCGGTTTAAATAGTTTTCCGACACCGTCTCACTAAAACGTAAATATCTCTTATTAGGATAAGAATCTGATAATGAAATTGGTACCATTGGAAAGAGGACGAAAAATCCTTGAATTTGAGCTCAAGAATGACCCAATTTCGATTTAAGATGACTAAGTTATGACCGTTTTAATTTTATGTCACAAACAGACAAAATAATTGGCTAAGCTCAAACACTACTGTGAGCGCGCCCACACTTAATTAGCTCACTTGAGCTCACACAAACGCACCCACACCAGATTAGCTCACTTGAGCTCACATGTATGCACCCACACCAGATAAATCTTCTGTTGACCAAACTTAATCCATGGTCCAGATTCACATGCGCACTCTTTTATGTACACCGTAATGCACCGAATCATTTCACTTATATTTAAACTATTCCAATGGCCTAGATCAGTGATGTAACCTTTTACTATGCATTCTACCACACTAGATCATACCTCGAATCACCCATCTCCTGA